GACATTAGGGCACCGTCAGGACGGCGCAGTGAGATCGCGGAATGTACGTGCAGTTAGATCGCGGAATGTACGAGTTTTCCGCTAGCGCCGGTATTTAGGGCGGTGACTGCGCTTATTTGTTTATCTCACTACGATCGGTATTCCTCATAGGAATCTCCTCAAGTCCTGCCGAACGCTAATAATACTCTTTACATTACTTGTAACAGTTTATCGTGCTAAATATCTTCGCCACCGGCAATCCTTCCGGAATAACAATCAGCGTTAGCCGTCACCGTCGCCAATTCTTCAATAGGTTATGAGCCCCGTCTAGCGCCGACAGCTATCGTCCGATTATTATTTCTACCCCTTATCGACAATGGTCAAGGATAAGCTTGATGAGCCGCTGGACCTCCACAACTACTCCACCTGGCAAATCAGGTTCAGCGCGATGTGCATGGAGCTTGGGCTTGAGCAATCCCTGCTCGCCGAGCCGTGCAACGAGGAGCAGATTCGACAATCACGGAAGGTCATCAATCTGCTCATCAAGAACGTCAAGGATCATCATTTGCCGATGGTTACCGGTGCTGCCAACGCGAAGAAGGCCTGGGACGCCTTGGGATCTATGTTTGCTGCCAACAACAACGCCCGCAAGGTGTCTCTACGTCAAGAATTCAGCCGTTTTAAGATGGTCGACGGCGAACCTCTTCCGATGTACTTTGCGCGTGCAAGGCAGCTGCAAACAGATTTATTGGGAGTCGGCCACGTAGTTAACGACTCCGAGCTGGCGTACACCTTCCTAGTTGGTCTACCCAGTCGGTACAGCGTGGTGACGACTACATTACTAATGCGCGACGGCGATTTGGACATGGCGAGCGTCACAGCAAAGCTTCTCTCTATTGAGACGGCTAACGGTGGGTCGGGCAAGCCTACCGAGTCGGCAGCCTTCACGTCTGTCGGCGGTTCGACGTTCGGCGCTTCTACTTCTGGTTATGGTAGCCGGGGGCCGGCTAACAACAGCTCGGGACACAGTCGGAAGCAAGTCATCTGCTACTACTGTAATAAGCCTGGGCACGTGGTTAAGGACTGCAGGCAGCTTAAAGCGCTGAAGCAGTCGTCAAATTCTGGCTACAAGGGTGGCTACAACAACAGTGGTAACGGAGGTAGTGGCAGCGGAGCTAGCGGCAGCAAGCCAGGATCCGGTGGATCAGCTAGGGGGCCAGGAGTTCCGCGGCAGGTAGCATTCGTGGCATACAACAGCAATCGCCCGACGGAATGGTTTCTGGACTCAGCCGCCACTCACCACATAACATATGACCGCTCAGAACTTTTCAACGTGCGGTTGTTGGAGTCATGGGAGCGCTTCAACATCATGGGCATCAAGGGACAGTCTCTTCGGCCGACTGAAGTTGGCACGCTTACGATTCGGTCTAACGTCAACGATAAACAGGCCATTACTTTTAAGAAGGTCTACGTCGACGAGGAGGCCACCGCCAAAATCCTATCGGTCCGCATCATTGATGATCGTGGAGGCAGTGTGGTCTTCGGCGGCGGACAGGTGAAAGTATACGTACAGAACCACTTGGTGCTGACTGGAAAGCGGGATGGGGACTTGTATCCCGTCTGCTACAGCAGTGGAGGTACGGGAGCTCTGAAGTGTGAAGACAACAGGATACCTTCTGGTGGTGATGCAGTGTGTGCTGCCGTGGGTATCGGAGCTGAACGTGCAGCACTTTGGCACCGAAGGTATGGCCACTTAGGATACAGCAACCTTGAGGCGCTGCTGCGTCATGATATGGTAACTGGGTTCGATGTTGACCGACACAGCATACAATCAGCCAGCGCGTGTGTGTGTGAGACTTGCGTCTTTGCAAAGCATACACGTGGTCCTTTTCCGTTATCTGGGCATAAGGCAGCGCAGCCTCTCGCGCTCATTCACATGGATGTGTGTGGACCTATGCCTGAACCTTCACCTAGTGGTTCGCGTTATGTGACAACTCTGCTTGACGACCATACTGGTCTTTCAGCTGTTGCGTTTACAGCGACCAGGGAGGAGGTCTACCAGAAGATGGTGGTAATGATAGCTGGGAACTGGAGCGCGCTACTGGCAGGCAGGTTAAGGAGGTGCGTACAGATCGTGGCGGGGAGTTCGTTAATACTCGCACGAAGGGCTATTTCTCGTCCAGGGGTATTGTACACGGAACTACGGTAGGCTATACCCCTGAGCAGAACGGAGCTGCGGAACGTTTAAATCGCACTTTTTTGGACTAGGGCTATGCTCGTTGAGTCTGGACTGCCTAAATCATTATGGGCGGAGGCGTTAGCGACAGCCAACTATCTTAGGAATGTGTCGCCAACTGCTGGGTCAACCGTCACTCCGTACGAAGCTTTCTTTAACGTTCGTCCGAACATCAGTCACCTGCGAGTCTTTGGATGCGTTGCCTACGTCCACGTACCCGACGTCAAGCGCGACAAGTTCGACCCGGTGAGCAGGCGTGGAATACTTGTCGGATACGGGAACGGTGGACAGTATCGTGTACTATACGAGGACGGCATTATTGCCGTAGTTTCTAACGTTCGTTTTGACGAGTCTAACGTCGGCCGGCGGCGTAATGCCGGGGATTCTGATTATGAGTCCGATGCCGATGAGGAGGAGGAGTTTCACACTAGTTTATCTGGTGAGGGATCGCTGCCTAGGGCTGGCGAAGGGACACCAGGTAGCACCGTCGGCGAGGGATCGCCGCATTTGGGTGGCGAGGGGGCGCCGGCTGGGGCTGGACCTTCCAGCAGTGCGAACGTGCAAGGAATCAATCAGCCTGATGTGGAAATGGCGGGAACTAGGTACCCAGTTAGAGAGCGTAAACGCCCTGGCGAATGGTGGCGAAACGAACCTGGTCGCACTGTCACTGGTCGCGTTAACGCTGCTTTCTCTGCTGGTATTCCTGAGCCTAATTCATTTGCGGAAGCCATTGCAAGTCCACATGCAGACGACTGGCGGCGTGCGATGGACGAGGAGATCGCCGCCCAGATGGCTAACAGTACTTGGGAGCTGAAGAGCCACCTCCTGGTACTCGTTTGTTGCCGTGTCGTTGGGTATATAAGGTTAAGTACAGCGATGACGGCAGCGTGGAGCGTTTTAAGGCGCGTTTAGTTGCCAAGGGTTTCGAGCAACGCGAGGGGATTGATTATGGGGAGTTGTTTGCCCCCACCTCTCGTGGTTCGTCATTACGTGCTTTATTAGCAGTTGCCGCAGCGCGGAACATGACGGTGCATCAGCTAGATGTGTCTACTGCGTTCCTGAATGGTGAGCTGAAGGAGGAGTTATGGATGGAGCAACCGCCTGGGTATGCATCCAGTGACCGGTCGCTTGCGTGCAAGCTGCAGAAGTCTATTTACGGTTTGAAGCAGGCACCCCGTTGCTGGTATGAAAAGCTATCAGCAGAGTTCGCCAAGTTGGGTCTTTATCCTTCGAAGTCTGATCCGGCGATGTTTGTTAAGACTGACGAGCGAGGGGTTGTTATTGCTTTGGTGCACGTAGATGATACCTTTGTTGCGTCGGAAGACCCGGAAATGGTCCGGGCAATTAAAACAGCAATTGCGAAGGTCTTCAAGGTGCGCGACCTTGGAGAAGCAAAGGTGTTTTTGGGCATGGAAATTAGGAGGGAGAAGTCGGGTGAGATAGTGTTGTCGAAGCATAGGTATATTGCGCAGCTGTTGGAGCGTCATAGGATGATTGACGCCAAGCCGAGGTCTACCCCTTTGC